AAAAAAAAAACTAATTTTCGCGAAGAAATTGAAGCCTAGTGGTTACGACAAGAATACGAGTAAAATTCGAGAAATCGACGATTTTCAGTCCGACCAAGACGAAATCCAACAAAATAGGACCGACAGTAGGCAAAAATTAAAGAACCAAATTATCCGAAGAAGATGCCACAGAGGACCCTGATTTTCTTGTTGAAGACAATAATCCAATCGGGATTGACGAAGTTGAAGAAGATATATATGAGCGTAGACGACATTGACGAGTAGTGACGAAGGTATGAGCATAGACGACATTAACAAAGTTGAAGAAGATATGACCCTATTCCTGTTACAAGTATAATTGTTTCACAGTAACTCACTATATACTCAACATAAGCTTGTTATATACCATTATGCACATAATGTTGTAATGTAACGTAGGATAAAATGCATAGGACATGTATATACCATTTTCTGTTTGATTTATTTTGGAGTATATGTACAGTATATTTACAGTATATGTACAATATATGTTTACGGCATTATATGTTGGATGTTGCGTGTATAGACATTGCAGTATATGTGGTGTGTATAGGGATCATATGTTCGTATATTTGAAGATTTTTTTGTAAATTGTTCGGTATATGTTCTGTGTATAGGGAATATATGTTCAGTATATTAGAAGATTTTTTGGTATAGGGAATATAAGTAAACTGTTATAATATTTTATAAACTATGTATATACTTTTATGTATATAAAAAAAAAAACATAATTTTTTCATGTAAGACATGTTTCTAATGGCAACATATACTGAATATATACTAACATAAACGCAACATATATCCACTGGAAAGCTGTGCGAATTTCAATTCATGTTTTTATCTCTCTCTATTAAAACGTACAAAGTGCGCGAATTAAGGAATTAAATGAGTCATTATAAGTATATTTCATTTCTCTCTCTTAATCAATCCCATAAAAAGGAGGTGGAGATTGAAATGATATGGTAAATAATTTAGGCATTAATATAAATAAATAAGGTGTTTTAGGTAAATACACAATAATTAATATAAATATAATAAATTTATAAATAAGTTAAAACCACGTAACATATGTGAAAATTTCCCATTATTTTTCAATTTGTTTGCTATTATAATTTATCCCAACATAGCATCCGAAAAACATTAAAACTTTAGTGTTAGTTAGATAATAATTATGTCATACATCAATTGAATAGATTCAACACCAAACTACTTCATTTAATATTTCTTTATGCTGTTATACATTATTAACATAACCTGAATTAAATCATATACTATGAATTAATCTAAAAAAAAAATCGAGCCTCAAAAATCAACATCAAGCTTGAGCAGCTAAAAAAAAAAATCAATCTTGCTCGATAAGGCCAGTGCTCGGCTCGACTCTTTTGCAGCCCTAAGATACGACAGAAGATTACCATACAATACATTGTAAGCATGCTGTTAGATCTTAATATGTGGCCATAGGTAGACAACCAAAACTAGTTATTTTTCAAATCTACATATCAAATATCCTTCATAAATGATAACTTTATCTAATTATTTTTGGCATTGTGGACTGAATACAAACTACCCAAAGAAAACTTCTTCAAAATTACAATGAAAATTGGAAGTTCAGATTTCATTGTAAACATATCTCCAAAAGTAAGTTCCAACATTGTTTGTATATCTCACCTTTGCACCTCAAAATTAATGTACCCAAAAGATGCAAAATAGAAATGAGAACAACAAAATCATTACTGAGTTATATATTTTTTTTTTCTTCCTTTGAACTCTATATATAGGAACCATCAAAACAACAAAATCCTCTTCTCACAAAATTATAAGTTTCGTCGATAGAGCTCAAGCCATTTTATTATTAATCTCTCGATGAGTATGTACTAAATACTCGACGTATGAGAGCCCATGTAGCGATTTGTCTTCTACCATGTGAGAGAAAAACAACATCCCTGCATAGAAAGAAAAAATGAACCACGAAATAAATATGACAAGGAAGAAATATGAGTAATGTCACTGCAAGACGTGACGAAATTTGAAATGGTTAACAAGGTGATCAAATTTTTTATGTTAGGAATACGAAAGTTCTGCGATTTGAGTGGAAATAATTTCGCCAGGCACTAACCTGAAGGGTCTCCCTTTTTACAAAATTTCAAGCTGCAGAAAAAAGAACAAGACAATAATTAATAGAAAAATGTTTCACAAAATAATCGAGCATGTCAGGGAACAAGAGTATTTGTTTTCAATCATGTAAAATGTTGAAGATTTTAGTCATACCGTAAATAAGAACACCGCTGGCGTCTTATTTCATTTACAATGGCATTCAGCTTCTTTGACAAAGAATTGTCAAATTCTTGAAGAGTGAACTGAGAAAAAAAAAAAGTTGGAAACCCGTTAGTGTTAAATTTCTTCACATATACTAGGAAAAACCTAAAACGAGTCGATCTGTACCTTCTGCACACAAGTTCACTTTTGAAAGTATATATAGAATGTCATATGGTTGCACTTTATTATTGGGCAACTAAATATTTATTGCAAATGTCATCGGAAGAGTTTGACTAATAACATTAGAAATAAAGAAAACAAAAAAAAAATGGTACCTGGTTCGAAATTTCTTCAACGGTTGAAACTCCAAACAACTGTTGCAAAATATTTGGCTGAACTGAGTTACCAGCATAAATTAAACAATCTTCTCCATTTTCAAGAAGATAAATTCCTTCATCACTAATTTGCTCGCTGTTAAGCTCAATGGGAGTGGGAATAATGGAATCATCCGACTCCTGAAATATTCAGCATAAATAATGAGAAAATCAGGCCAACACATCAAATCCAAAATGGATGCACCCTAATATTTATTAAATACATACTCCCTCCTTTTTTAAATATATGTCGTTTTGACTTTTTTGATTAATGTCTACATACATAGCAAAATGAATGAATCAAAAAAGTCAAAACGACATTTATTTAAAAAAGGAGGTAGTAATATATATTTACACAATATTACCTTTTCATCAAGGTCATGAACGGAAATCATTCTTGGGTACACCAATGGAATTACCAAAGGTGTGGGTAAACGAGATGCGTGATTGATCCAGTAGGACCTCTCGTCTATTCTCCCATCATGGCGTAAACCAGCGCTTTTGAGCAACGCTGAAAAAAAATGCAGAAATTGGCAATAAAAGTCGAATTAAATTCTTGTTCATCAAATGATAAGAGAAAACTCAATGCATTAGCTGTTAAGAAAGCTGTCCAGACCGTGAGAACACTATTTTTAATTGTGTGTAATGCTATTTTTTATTGCATTTTTTGCTATTTTTAATTAGGATTTATTTTTTAAAAATATCAACACTATATATAATAGCATAATGTATAAATGATAGCACCGTATGCAATTAAAAATAGCAGCATATATGGTCCTACATATTCCCGCTCACAAATTTACAACTCATTCTTTTTCCGCTACTTGCAAAAATAAGTGTAAACATAGATTATTATTAATTCGAGGAAGCTACTCAAGTTCAAACCTGAACTCAGCCAAGAGGAGATAAAACATAAAACTAAAAAAACAAAATAAAAAATGACAGACACATGAGAAACTTGATGTACCAAGTGTATATAGAGGCAACAATTTAAGTGCCTCGGGTATAATGAGCTGTCCAGAAGATGAAACAGGAGCACAAAACTTGCGGTAAGAGTACAAGATGTTGATGCAAGCATTTGTAGCTTGTTCCGTCACTTGTGTAAGAGGAGCTGACGGAATTTCAGCAGCAGCTGTCACATGAACAACGAGAGAGTAAACATGGTAGGACAAAACAGCATACTACAAACTAAATGACACATATACCTACATTGCAATAATCATATCAAATGTAACTGAAACAAAAAAAAAAAAAAAAAAAAAAAAAAAAAAAAAAAAAAAAAAAAAAAAAAAAAGAGAATCATAGAGACGGTTTGGATAAAGAGAATTAGCTATAGAGACCATATGATGTAATATTTATTGTGACAAAAAAAAGGCAATAATCACACCCTTAACAGCAAATAACAAATTAAATATATAACACACAAGTACCTTGCTTCAACATGCAGGCAAACTGGGTGTCCAAGTCAGCAGCCCGGAACAAGTTACTTAACATGTTGGTGCAAGGCAGTGACAAGGTAGAAACCCGGATTCTTCTTTGTCCGTGTATAGTGGTGTATAGAAGGGCACACTATAAAAAAAAAAAAACATAGAATGTGATAGATTAAAAATGGCTTGAAGAACAAGGGAAAATTGATGAAACATCCAAACAACGCACTATTGTAGATTATGTGTAAGTGTTACCTGGAAAGAACACTCAGAACCTTCCTGTAACTTGTCGTCATGTTTCAGTGTCACCATTATTGTTTTGTCACAATCAATCTGAAAGAGCAAGCATGTTTTTCCCCAGCAGTCAACATTAAGACATGTATATGTATGTGACCATAAACATAATAACAAAATCCTTTAAGGATGACCGTACGCCGTACTACATACGGCTGCAATCATGTTGATTTCACAATTTTTTTGAAAAAAAAAATTAGGTGAAAGCCAGGTAGAAGTTTAGAGAGCATTTCTTAGTGGAAATTTTATAATTATAATTTTCTATAAAAATGTAACAAAAATTTATTTATATATTACGTTTTTGATGTAACAATATATCCCTTAAGCACAACAAAATGGGGATAAAAGAGTCAAACATCAATAGTAAAATAAGTCCGCGCCAGGAAAATGGGAGATACCGCAGGTAAGTCAACATCAGTTGGTATGCGCCGACAGAAGTTTCCAGAATATTCCTGAACTTGAATACCCTACACAGTGAAACATAAGAGATAAACTAGTGATAAAGTCACTTGTCAAACAAGCAGTCTTACAACTTCAAGAGTTACTAAAAATAAGAAGCTAACGGCTTGATAAATTACAAATTAATTTACTCACATTTAATTCATACTCAAAATCTAATTCAACCCCACTATCTTTAATATTATTCATATAATTAAATAATACAAACTTTAATTCACTATTCATCCACCCACATAATTTTAGCTACCTATCATTTTCAATCATTTATCTCATACTTTTACATCAAATCAATTTAATCATTTTATTTTAAATAATATTTTAATACATTCTTAAAATTCCACTAACAACTAATCATACCACTTTTTTCAAAATTAACTACGATTAACCAATATAACTCATTTTGAACAAATTATTTGATAAACAATCAAGGCCTAAGAAATTTTACGAAAAGAAGGAACCTGGCTGCATCTAACACGCATCACAGCTTCAAATCCTTGTGGCCTTGTGACATTCCAGCGCAGATCATTGTAAAGCTTAGCAGTATCGGAAAGAGCAGAGAAAGGATAATAACAGTAAACCTGGACAACAAAACCATTAAACCTGAGCTTGATATAACAACAATTTAAAGAAAATAAAGGCATATGATGTTTTCAAGTCAGACATCTAATCTAAGCCAAAATGGTCATAGAAAATAGATTATAACATTGCACCACATCATAAGGTCACCTCATTATACACTTAACCTCATTAATTATACAGTTACCTGGCCTCCAGTAGTTCTTGGAAAGACAGAGAGAGAGGCTATATCGACATATGATTGTGTTGTAATGAACAAGTCAATACAGACCTGTAAGAAACAATAAATTACAACATCCATTAGAATTAATACCAGTTATACACAAAAACAGCGGCAAGCTTTTGGGTACCCAAAGAATTAACAAATGTCACCTGATACTCTGCGAACTCAATGGCCATAGTTTTCAAATTCTTGTCAGCCGGTTGGAGTAATTTGTGAGCCTCCTGAAACCCAACCATTGCTGTTAAGCTCCCAGAATACATATTCTATTAATGATTAAACACCAATATGCTAATCTCACATCTAACTGACGAGAACTTGGAGAAATATCCATAATTGATGAGCAGACCAATATATCTATATAATATATTCGTGGAGTGTTTTATTATGACAACAGAACTAAAAACTGCCTATACAAAACAACATTGGTATAACTGGAGTTGGTCAATATCAAGCTGTCTACTTACCCTTGCAAGCTACCTAATGTAAGCTACCACATTCACATCACAATTGAAGGAAATAAAAACTATCTAGGGATATAGAACTTTTATGGATGATAAAAATTCAAATAAAATTCACACTAGTATTTTACATTGCACTCCCAATAACAAGTGATTCAAGTTTGAGCAACTCAAGAAAATAAAGAACTAAAATTCACACTGTATTGTCACATTCATATTCAAAGGTTGAATTATAAAAATCTGCAGACACATGAGAGGAAGCTTAACAAAAGCTAATGAAAGAGACTGTCATGGCTAATTGGATTGCACCAGGTCATGGAGCTCAACATTCATTCTCCATCCCTCCAAAATTGAATGATATTTTTTCATATAATATAATAAACCATCTATCCAAAAGGTATACAGTAATGAAGAGATACAGTATAAATGAAGAGTAATCAAACAACAAGGGTTGGGGATTGTAATACTCTAATATGCCACATTTATACCTTTTCTGCAGCTGATTGGTTGCTTCTGCCTTCTGCTTCTCTAGCAGAAAGGGACACAATACCAGTTGATGGCAATGCTGCAATTCATAAATCGCCATTATAATAGTGATCAGGGAAAACTGAATAAATTTGGCATTGGGAGCTGTGATAAGAAACAATTCAAACGGCACATGGTCTAGTTTAACATGAAAAGAAAAGAAAATGTAGCTTTCATGCATGTTAATGTGTTCTACATAGACAACAAACATTTCTGCATTTGTCAGCTTACTGGATTGAAAGACAAGCAGTTTGCCGCCAGTGCTTTTCATTGCCAAGAAGGCTGCCTAAATAAGAAAAGAAGTATACGAATGAATTAATCTCAAATAGTCTGGTGAGAAATCAATTGAAACATAGTAATTAAGGTGATTAAGCAACTGTGAGGTGTGTCTGGTTACTGATTAAGAGATGGCGGAAACTTGTTTCTAGGGGAAGGAAACCAAACAGCCTAAATGACAGTCTCCTTGATCAAGCAACAAGAATCTATACATTCGGTATATTTAGAATGACATAAAAGCATGATTAATAATCTTATACATAGTAGAGGCTCTTCCTTCGTGTTCCTATAAAACATATGCAGAAAAAATATCCCAATATAACTCTTAGAAAAAGTTGCTCCCTAATTGTCAATCACAACAACTGATCTTTTTTATTTACACGATGTACTAAGGCTTCATTTCCCAAACTAAAGTCGGCTGAATATATATGATTGATAGAAGTAACACGTCATCAAAGTGTGAACAAATGACATGAAAAAACAATTTGTGCCCATACCTTTACTGCAGCACAACAAGCTGAATCAGCAATTCTATTACTCTCAAACATTGTAGGAATGCTTTCTAGCAATATCTCCAAATGCTGGCGGCACTGTAGTTAAAAAAGAAAACCGATTTTACACAACTTGGGGAAATTGTAACATGAGCAAACACATTAATTCCATGGAGCTGATCCTTTCATCAATCTCTGGTCTTAAAAAGAAGAAAAAAAAAATAATTATAGGGTGGAAAGTCAACAAGCTGCTCTCATAGGGACCAAGCTGAAAAAAAATTGACTACCAACCTCATCGAGCTGAACAATAACATCACTTTCAAGAGGAGTGTATACATCTTGTACATCAGGAACAATAAGCATTAACGGCTGAAAGGATACAGAAAAATAACATGAAAGTTAGCACCCAGCATTGCAAGTACTTGTACAGTGAAACACTGTACTTCGCTTGAGAATATCAACATAGAAAGCCTAGAGGTGTTTTGCACATGATTATGATCCAGATAAAGCATTAAATAAATAAAAAAATAACGTGTCACCAAAGCTAGTATTTATCCACCAACCTGCTGTGAAGCTCGTTTTAGATTGTAAAAGTGGATGGTAGAGTCAAATGTCGCAATGCCCACCATTGTTCGAGGACCCTTCTGCAAGTAAAGGATCACTCGTTCAAATTAATAGTCCCCCTTTCTGATAGCTCAATAAACAAAGAACTCCACAGTGGCTAAGTGGAAAATCAATGTCATGCGCAAGAAACTCATATTGAGATATTACCAGAGACAGCATTAAAGTGGCTAAAAGTCTCTCGCCTTTGCAGATTAAACTTAAATAACTCTAATACAAAATTACCTCAACTCAAAATCCATATTGCATCACTTTTTAGGAACCTTCAAGGTCAAAAGAACTTATAGACGGAATTTATATTTCTAACCTCACTTATAAACACCAGCACTCAATCTACAGATTCTATTTTCTTTCCCTGCATACATTCTAAATTCGGAAAAAATACACCACAGGCAGTTCACATACGAAGAAGAAAATCATACAGAAATTGAGTTCATCAAGGACCACTAGCTTGGTGTAAATTTCTGGAATTAATGTTACAAGCTTTAAGAAACCGTGCATAAACTTACAGGAAGGTCATCTATAACTTGGTTGATTGCAGTGCAAGCTGCAGCAGTTGCACCAGTTTGTATGGCATTCATGGATACATCAATAAGGAAGAAAAATACAGCAGGCATTGGATCCCGCACCTGAAATATTTAAATAGCTCATAATGCACATCAGAAATGCAAGAATCAAAAGAGATGCATTTTATCTAACAATAAAGTTAAAAAATAAAAAAATAAAAAAAAAATAAAAGGTTTTATTCAGTCCCCCAATCCAATGCACACACCCATGCAACAAAAGAAGACTGCTAAAATGCTGGGGTTATTGAGAGCTTCAGTTGAAACAAAAGCTAATCACGTCATTCTGGAATGCATAAACACATCTGACATAAGTAGAATTTTTATACAACTTCAAACTGCTTGAAATGATCTTACCACTCAGACAAAAAACATTTCAACATCAATTTCTGCTTGCCAAATTTTTAGGAAGGAATTTGTTATGGTATGCAGACCCCACATAGAGGACCAAGATTATTGGAAAAATTGAGACATAAATATATCATCATGATTATCATGCAAGGACATTTTTGAAAAACAAAAATTGATACTCAAAAACAACATCCACCTAAGAGAATCATATGGTACTGGATCCTATAGACCCCTAATCCTGAAACCTCTCGATCAAACCATATGCAAATACGCTCATAGCTTCTCTCTATCTTCCATAACATTCCAACTCTAATGTCCTAATAACTCCCTTCTGCATTGAATCATTAATCTTATGACAGATTCAAGTCTAGGTCTAACATAGCACTCACCATATATTCCTTGGTAGCCAAAAATTCAACTGTTCCTCTGCATAGCTCAGGTCTATCATCAGCATCTCTGCGACGGCCATCAGGACCTAAGTTGCAGTAATAGTCACGTGGAGTTTCATCTGTAAATCCTGTAAAGTCACGTAATAACAAATTGTGAAAAGATGTGGGCCCATAATTATATGGCACTAGAAGTTATAAAGAGCCAATAGTTAAGATAAGACCCTGTAATGCATCAAAGAAAGATGTGTTACAAATGGCAATATTGAAAGGACTGAGTAGCACGTTTAAGGATCATTAGTTTGCAGTTTACTTTTTAGTTATTATTTCTTCACATATTTCATTGAAAGAAATGGAGAAAGAAGGGAAAAACATGCGTGAACTCCATTGACATTGAACTCACTAGTGCAACTCCCCAGCCAAAAAAAAAAAAAGAACAAAAAAATTACATAATATTGCCAAAAAAGAAGCACAAAGGGATATCCTTACCACACAAGTTGCAAATGAATCGTCTTCCTTGGTCAATAAACTTTACGAATGGGTTTATGTAGCCTTTGCAGCGAGAACACCTGATAGGGCCACTTTCCCCAAAATCAACAACCTAGAAAGCATCATAACACAGGACACGTTTTGCAGTTCAGCTCGAATGAAGATATTAACAAAAGACTTGCACATGACATGAAGTGTAGCAAATTTAGTGTGGATTATGTCACAGTCAATTCTGGAGTTGTGTGACTAACAATTTAACTTATAGAAAGAGAGTTAAAACATTTATTCAACCAGAAGAGAGCAAGAAAAAAGTAAAGGAAACAGAATCTTTTATACATGGATGGGTTCCTCGGACGGATGTGGAAGAGCTAAAGGCTGGACCAATAAAGCCAACTGTATTCCCGATGTTGATAGAAGGTCTGCAGTACATGGAATCTAACAAACAAATGAACACATTTGTTATTTGCAACAACAATGCCATTAACACTTGAAAGGAATTTTTACAGAACAAACCAAAAAAAAAAAAAAAGAAAAAGAGAAGAGGAAGAAAGGGATGGTAATTGTCATTGGATACTTAACCTGGTTTATAGTACACCTCATGTAGCGTGGACTGCAATTTCCAGTGTCTGTTACTATATAGTCACTTGTTGCAGGCTTGACAAGAAAATATAAAACAAAGAATAAGGGAAATTTGACACATCAATGTCATGAGTGAAATATATTTAGCAAGAAAATAAACTTGTTCCATGACATTAACATAGAATTTAACAGACTGCCAAAAAACCACCCACACAAAACACAAGAAAGCAACTAATTACCGGAGGAGGGTTTGCTTGATTTCCCTGTCGGGTCTCGTGCAAAATTACAGCAGAACTTGGCGTAAGGCGGGGAATCTGGACTGGACCAATGTTATTTTGTCCTGTTTGACCCACAGACATAGATTGATTTGGAGGTTGTTGCCCACCTGGAGGCATTCCAAACACCCGCTGCTGCTGTTGCATAGGACCAGAAATCTGAGGTGGGGCTACCTATATACCATAACATGATTAGGAGTGTGTAAAATCAGGTAGTGTGACAATGTACAAGTTCAAGCCACTATTAATAATATGCAACAGTTGCAAGATCAGCAAGGATTATAAATAACAACGAAAAAAAAAAAAAAAAATCGATCTTGCACAAACAAACCCTCCAAAATCAAAGTAGTAATATCATACAACTAACTACGATACCTGCTGGTTCGGTTGTGCTGGCCATGTCTGCATGCCATATGGGGAGCCCAAAGGCTGGGGCCCACCAGGAATAGGCGCTGAAAACTGGGAGGATACTTGAGTAGGCCGCATGTTCGGTGGGGGGCCCGAAAATGGAGGTGCCTGTTGCCCCACAGCAATCGGTGGGCCTGCAAACGGGGTCGCCTGCTGCCCCACAGGAGAAGGTGATCCACTGGTAGGCTGACCACCGTAGCTAGGACGCATCTGCGGAGGCTGCGAAGGCCGTGGTCCGGAGGAGGATACAACTGCTGCTGGCTGAGGTGGCCCAACCGGCGGTGGACTTTGCATACTACCCATTGTGGGGGGGAATCTGGGCCTGCCTTGTGACATTCCCGGGCCGAAGGAAGAGGGACCATTCGGAGGGCCCACTATGGGTGAAGTGGTGGGCCCGGAAGTCGGAGGGGCAGACGAAAAAGGCCCGGGACGAGGGCTGGGCCTGGAAGGCAAGGGAACAGTGGGCCCATTGGCAGATGTCGGGAACACGCCAGGTGGCGGTGGCCT